CTCTTGCATTATTAATGATGTGGTAGCCGCAAACCTCGGAATTAAGGGAAGAAATCCATTAAAAGCGGAAATATAAATACTAACGCGAATTTTTTTGTTTCAGATATGATTCTCGCACTCGTCGTGGACAAAAGGAGAGTTTTAGGTACGTTACAAATCAATTCTTTTAGTAGATAATTTTTTCTACACGAACGTGTATACTTCAATGATGCATGTACACATTCGGAAATGTGAATTTTATAATAAACGTCGCTCTGCATTCCGGCAACGTTTTCTGGTCCTATCTGAGATGGGGTTTTCATATTTTGTTGAAGAACGTTAAAAAATTCATTCGATGGGGAATGATTTGAGATGCTCTGTTGTTGACAGAAGGTAGAAGCGAATTTCCATAGTAAATAAAATTAGCTATGTAAAAATTCATAACCAACCGTTCGTTTTAAATATACATTTTGCAAACGACCGACGTCGAGTTAGGATTTGACCTGGTATGCCAAAGGAATTATTAAACAAAACTAAAAATTCAAATTTATTTCCGTCTTCTTGAGACGAATCTACACATATTGTGCTCTATGAATGCTCAAGTTTTCGTAGTAGGGATGGTACATTTCCGATTTCATTTTCAAATTGCTTTAGAATGTGTAAAAAGTCTCTAAAAATGACAATTATTCATCTGTGAATGTTGAAAGAACAGATGACGCGAAAGTTCTTGACAATATAGTGCGATCTATCGCGTTATAACAAGCTGTACCTTTCCTAGAATACGTCGAATGGCCATTTTTGATTGGCATAACACGAGGATCGTTTCACCCAGAAAATTAAAGTTTTTACGTGGATTATCTACCGTTTAAATAGGTAAGTCCTTTTAAATGTTCACACATCCGAGAAAAATATTGGTGTGGATATATTTTAGAACAATATAACCCAAAACTAAAACCATTTTGACATCAGGGGTACCACAGCAGTTCAATCTTGCTGCGCTTCTGTGCGCAATTTAGTATAATGTGATTTTTGAGATTTTTCTCTGACTCTCATTTTTGAGATACGTTTTGTCGAATCATTCAACTTATTTTGTCACTTTGGCACTCCGTTCTAGAGATATTTGCACCTGAGTTTTGGTCAACAAAATGAAAATTAAAACGACATTTCTGAAAGAAGGAGAAGCTTGCGAAGTTTGTCAGACAAAGTACCCCGCACACAGACGATCGATAATTAATAAAAGTAAGAAAACTTAAAATTACGTTCTCTTTTAACGTATGTCTCAAAAGTTTTCGGAAAAAGTGACAGTCAAATTAATATATAGTAAACATAGTCCGATCTAGTTGCCATTGGAATAACAATTTTGTCAATTCCGATTTTGGAGTGACAGTAAATCACAAATTTCAATAATATTATTATGGGCTATTAAGGATCACTATGAAAAAATTTCGGTTACAACACATTTTGAAAGTTGTGTACTAAATTGTATACAAAGGGATCCTTTATAACCTATAATTTAATAATATCATTAAAATTCACGATTTACTGTTATTCCAAAATTGGATCCTATTGTTCATAGATAGGAATAAACGTCATGAACACGTAGAGTAAAAATCGTGAACAAAAGTAAAAATTTCCATACGATTTTTTAACAAAAAAGGTTCGGTGATTTGATAACTTAACCTTGCAAAATGGTATTTAGAAAAATCTGTTTCAACTTTTAGAATATTATGTAACCGAAATGACATGTCGTATTGAACGTTTCGTGTGAACAACAGATTTTTGAAACAAATCAAATTGACTAACAATGTCTGAGCATTATATTTGACAAAATCGATGTAGGCCTCATTCTTCCTCTTTTAACCCGTAAAAAAACGAATCAACTCCTACCTACACATCTTTCGGTAAACAGCAAGACTTTCAATCCTGATTGTGTATATTGTTTACACTACAGTTCAACTCATAAAGACCAATTTTATACCCGCAATTTTTTTTATTTCGTAACAATCCTTTACAATCCATATTTACAGAGAATCCGAAACCAAACGACAAAATAAGATGATTTGTTTGTTGAATGGACGATCTAGCTGAACATGGACTAATACTCTAGCGACTAGAGTCGGGAAGCTTTTACGTTAGAATATGAATCAATCGCTGATGTTATCTAATTATTCAGATTACAGCCTAATGGGAACACAAACTGGTCAATGCAAATTGAATTACTAAATCACCATTCAACCGTCTTCTTACTGCAATTAATTTATTCACCCTCCATCTCTTTGTTCTAAGTTAATTTTTTAATTAAGCTATAAAGATAATCCGTTTCACAGAAGTGGCGTTAAGTAAATAATTTCTACTCCGTATCAGTATCCAACATTTCACTAAATAATCTTAAAGAAAAAAAAAGTATACAAATTTCAGCATAGCGGAAACTTGAAAGTTGATAAGATGTAGGTGTATTATCCTCAAAAAATTGACATCAGAATCCAGAACGTATCTTAAACTTCGCACACGAAAAGCTTTCAAATATACGTTTTCCAAAAAAATATGGAGACATTTAGGAAGTATGCCACTATGCATAACAAAGAGCTTAGGACAGTTTACATAGTTCCTTAAAAACCCCTAGCCATTGAAGCGATTGACGTATATGCGTGTCTTTTTGTAGCTTGATAAAGTTTCATACAGATTTAGATGTCGCTTCTAAAGCCTTGCTCGTTTAGTATATTTACGTTCATCTTATGGATGTAGGGGAGAGCGGGGTCAAATGTAACACTTTTTGCATTTACGGGTCTAACTCGCGAACTATGTAATGTTTTGACTTTAAATTCGAAACAGAAATACCTCAGAGTATGATGTTTATTATTGTATTGCAAAGCTTGCAGATTATATCCATGAGAAGCATACAATTTATTTCGAGTTAATGGTTGCAACTTGTTACTACTGACCCCAGTTAGGGTCAAAAGTAACACGGTCAGGGTCGATTGTAACATTTCAATTTTAATTCAAGTCAAAGCTTTATTATATGTAGGTACTTTTGTTACATAACTTTTAACAATAATTGGGTAGAAAATACTCTATTCGGACTCACAGTTGTGGCAGTAATAGAGATCATCGCCTTTGGTGCACTTTTGGTGGGACCACCGTTTACAAGAAAGACACTGCACCCAAACCTCTCTATTAGTACTGGAAGACCATGGCTCTACGCAGACCAGGCAGAAACATTCCTCCTCTTCTGAACTACTTACATCATGAACAGGTGTAGTAGTTTTCCGTTTCTTGACGAGCTTCCCATTTTTACTGTTTGCGAAATTTCGTTTGGGGACATTTTTTTGTTTTCGCTGCTCTAACTGCTTCTTCTCAGGCGTGTCTGTCCAAATTGCACTCTTCATTGAGGCCCTACCTTTTCGCTTCGGTTTGTCGAATTTAGCCTTAGGCAATGGACGTATTTCCTTTAGAGAAATAATAGAGGAATTTCGCGAATTGGAAGGACCTGCCGCGTAGATGTTCTTATTCGTTTCATCATTTATCTCCCTACTGATCTGTGCTTCTGAATTAAGTTCGACTGGTGGAGTTGTCGTACGCGAAACTGGTAAGACTGGAGGAGGTGTTGTTTCCCCTGGAAATGGTTGTTCGGTCACATTATCATGCAAGTCGCCTGCTTCTTCCATTGGACGGTCGGTAACTTCTGCTGGAGCAAATTCATGAGCAGGAAATATAAATCGATTAAATGGGTAAATTCCTGAACATTTGAAGCCAGCCTGAATATTTGACGGTGTAGCAGCTAAAGGGAGAGCTTTCTTGACAAGACTTGGTAAATGATAAATATTCATTCTTTCACCAGGATGAGTTTTCCTCCAATCATCGGCGGAAGTATTGAAATATTTCTTCAAGGGCCCATATACCGACCTATCCAAAGGTTGTAATTTGTGGGAAGTGTGCGGGGGGAACGATAGCAACACTATTCCGTTTTCTCGGCAGAAATCTATTACCTGAATTTGGATGTGTGAGTCGTGGTTGTCCAAAAGCAGAAGTATTTTATTTTCTAGAGATGGCCTCGCATGCTTTACGAAATGCTTGAGAAAAACCAAGAACTCTGCACTTTGCATCCATCCAGATCCGTTTGCTGCCCCGATACTACCAACTGGTCCATCTGCTAGAAAGTGATCGTGGTAGTTTTTTCGCGGGAAAATAAACATTGGCGGTATTAAGTTCCCTACTGCATTAACAGCCACGCAAAGCGTTACTAGAGTTCCTCTTTCGTGTGAGTTAATACCACCAACTTGTTTAACACCTTTTAAAGCTACGATTTTGTCGGGTTTTGGTGCTGTCGTAACGCCAGTTTCGTCTAAATTATACATATTCTGAGGTTCAAAACCATATTTCTGCATTACACTGCTAAGTTGGTCAAAAAATCTTCCAACGTTCACTTCATTGAAGTTGCATGCACGTGCAATGCTGGTTGATTCGGGACTTCGAATAGAAAGGGTTGGATTTCGTTTCATAAAATCAGTAAACCAATCTCTACCAGCCATTTGAAATTCATGCCACTTATGGGGAAATTTTCGCTCATTTGCAACCGCATACTTGTATGCTAAATTTCGAACTTCTTTTGGGGTGAGGCCGTAAAAAATATTCGCTGATGATTTGAGATATTCTGCTAGTTCAGCCTCCAATTCCGCGGTAAACACTTTATTATGTGGTTTATAGCCCATCTGGGGATTTGCGCTCGATTTCTGTTTATTGATAAATCTTTGCAACGTTACGTGACATACATCATACGTCTTTGCTGCTTTTCGAACTGACATGTTTTGAGTTCTTACTAAATCAGAAGCTCTTTCTATAATATCTTGTGTTGGCCCCCTTTTGGTGGTACGTGCACGATTGCGAGGCATTTTCTGTACCTGATACTGATAGAAATAATTATCAGACCATATAAAAGCGTTAATGCTTATAGAAAAAGAAAATTTAAAAAAAAAACAGGTTCAGGGGCAAATGTAACACTGTTACAATTGTCCCTCCACATCATGTTACAAGTGACCCACAAGACGTTGGTAAGGAAGTTGTTATTTTTTTAGGGTACTTCATAACCTCAACGTATATGTAATACCCGCTAATAATGCCCAATTTAATGTACTTTCCAATGTTGTAAACCAAAATTCCGATAGCTTAGCAATTGAACAGGTATAAGAATAAAACCAAAAACAAAATATTTTACTTACCAAGTAGTGCAAACAATAATTGGACGTAGTTATGCAGAAACCTACCAACCCACAATATGTCTGAAAACGGGCTTAATGGAAACTCGAACTTGCTATAAAAGATTCTTTAATTTGCAGAAACCAGCCAAGCAGTATACTGCAATAGCCATGCGCTAGTGACTCTACTACCAAACCATTTTATTGAAATGAAGACCCTATGATTACGCAGAATCATACTAACCCACTTGGTCGATGAAAATTATTCAAACTGCGCAACCAAGTGGTTTGGTAGCTTTCTGCAAAAATCAGTTCTTGTACATAACCTATCTGATTTTGCGAGTTTTAAAATCAGACCCCGTCGGAATTCTGTTATTGTGTTAGTTAGTTAAGTTAGTGTAGTTGATTTTCAGTTTCCTTGGTGCAGCATAGTTAAGTTAATCATGTTTAACAATCGGACATTAAAAATAATTACTTTACTTAAGAATAAAAACCAACTTTCCGGTAAGATGCATTTTCTGGTGTACTCAATAGCTACTGCATTTTCGATTTCGTGTTGTTATAGGAGATAGTAAGATAGAAAGTGAAAAGAACATTTCGTTCAATGTAGAATCAGAAAATCTCGTGGAAGACGTGATCCTTCCTAGTTCAAATAAGTCAAACGCCTATGAAGTGAATAAATCAGAAGAGGACCTCACGTATCCAGGTAAGTGGGCTTTTTAGTGTGCCACGTGCTATTCATATATTAATTTATAGAAAATTGTAACAAGACCGATAACAACATTATTAGCACTGACCAAACCGAACTTGTGGAACAAGACAAAGACTACGAAATTCATCCTAGTACCAGTAGCTATAAAGACAAACACTATGAAAATGCCGGTACCTATCCATCCGAAGATGACGATGATTCTGTCCGTGATCCAAATTACGCGACCGAGAGCGATTGTTCGGAATCGGATACAGCAATGCACACAAAAGTATCGCACGTTGTTGCTGATGCTGATGTTCAAGAAGGAAACCTAGATAAGGAACGTATAAGACCACGGAAAGGCAGAAAAAGAAAACATGCAAATGTTAGTAGAAGCGGAAACAAGGAAAATCGAAACAGCAACCGGGATTACTTTAACTATAAAGGGAAGAAAATTCAAGCAAAGACTTTTATTGATTTTGACTGTAAATGCACAATGAAATGCCACGACAATGTTTCCTTAGAAATCCGAAAGATAGAGTTTGAACGGTTTTGGTCTTTGAAGTCATATGATAGCCAAGTCACTTTTATTGCTGCTGGTGTACAACAGTTTCCTAAGAAGAGATTGTATGGAAGGGATCCTGATAAGCGACAATTTTCTCGACGATATAATATACACGGCCAAATTGTTTGTAAAAGCATCTACCTCAAAACTCTGGGCATAACATCTTTCAGGGTGCACACAGCTCTTAAAAAATTTAGGGGCGTTATTCCTATTACAGATCAAAGGGGACAAAAACAAGGGGGCTATAACAAATTGGCGGACGATAAAGTTCAAAAAGTAGTGGATCAGATTAATCGTATTCCAAAGTATACTTCACACTATCGTCGAGAAGCGACAACGGCGCAATTCCTACCACCAGATGTAACAATACAAAAGATGTTTGAGATGTACCGTTTGGAAACGGAAAATCCTGTGAGCTTTAGTTCCTACAAAAAAATTTCGCTCCACGACAATCCTCACGATAACCCAGACCGCTCATTACACGTATAGCTCTCCGCTGCAGCTTGAATATCATATGCCATGAGACCGATTGACCCCATACTAAAAGAGCATAGCTCAGTGTGCTCTGTACAAGAGCATGGTACGCGTTTTTAACAACCCACGGTGATACATTGTTTACCAGCCTTCTTAATAGAAATATGGACTGGTTAATTCTTTTTGCAATTACATCGCAGTGCGATTTAAAGTTTAGACGAGGATCAATAGTACAACCCAAAAACTTTGCATTGTATATCGTCTTATAGTTTGCACCATCTTGACCATATTTTAATGTAAGATGCATTACAGCTGTTTTTGATGAATTTAGTTGAAGTTTATTAGCTAAACACCAGTTATTAATTGAATCCATACTTGCATTAGCCTTGCTAGACGCACTCTCTACATCACGGCTAGCGGAAATTAAAGTTGCGTCATCTGCATACAGTAGACACGAGACATCTGGGGGGAGACATAGAGGCATATCGTTGACATAGATAAGGAACAGTGTAGGACCTAACACGGAACCTTGGGGTACTCCAAGGGTAACAGTAAGTTTATGCGAGACCACATTGTTAAAAAGGACACAATGGGATCTTCCACTTAGGTACGATGATATTATGGAACAGCTATTCGAGTCGAAGTTATAAACATGTCTTAGTTTTCTTATTAAAATTTCGTGATTAACACAGTCGAATGCTTTAGACATGTCTATAAACGTTGCCACAGTATGGAATCCATTTTCAAATGCCTCGAGCGTGCTCCTCGTAAATTCAATGATCGCATTCGATGTACCTCTACCTTTACGAAAGCCAAACTGTTTATCATGAAGTAAATTACTAGCTTCCAAATACGACATTATTTGTTGATTTAAAATTCTTTCGCATATTTTCGAGAATATGGGCAGAATGGATATAGGCCTGTACGCGCTGATGTCATTCTTATTACCTTTCTTGGGTATTGGAATAATAACAGCAGTTGACCTCCGACCTCCGTTAGATAGTCACATGAATCAAAGAAGTGTTCTGTGCCTTTTTCTTTTCCTAAAAATGTAATTATATAAATTATTGTAAAATCACCGTGTATTATACAAAAATGGGTATTAGTTTGTATTACCTATGTACGGACATTTTATTTCTAAGAGACTAGTTGGAACATTGTTCTCCATAATTACACCATCTGGAGAATAGGCGAGCCATGGCATATATTTGCAAACCATTAAAGAAACTTCAATAACATTGAAGTTTGTATTTTTCTTAAACGTGTTTAATGCTCTCTTTTCACAAGCAATTCCATGTGCGACAAATTTATTCGTAAACCCTTTAGGGAAAAAAAAACTTAATGCTTTCTGCTCCCAGTTGGGGTTTCGATTGCCGTAAGTATATATCGCGTAACAAGTAGATCCTAAATTACACATTTAAACATTTATTTTGTAATATCCCCAAATATATACCAGTAATCCGTAACTGCCGTTCTTCTTTCCACTCTTCTGAGCCTTGTTTTGTGCATGCTGCAATTTTTCGGTTAGTTTTGTGTAATGTCTCAAGTAGAGATAAACAACATTTTTTTAAATTATGAATAATATTAAATTCAAATTTCTGTGTATATTCATTTGCATCCATGAAGTTGATTAAATTTTCTATGCATCTGAAACAATTTGATCACAAAAAATATAAAATAATCAAATACATACAGGGATTGAAACTTCTCAGTCTTTGTCTCGGTCTTTACTGAACTACTAGTAATCTGGTCAGTTTGGTGTGAACTGGACTCATTTGACCCCCCTGCTACTACTTCGCACACACTACTCCGCTTTTGTGGTGGCAGTTCCGTAATATTTTGTAAACTTCTTTGCTTAAAAGAGGACAATGCGGAGTTGCCTACAGCTATACAAAACATTAGTCAATTTTGTAATGTAAAACAATGTTCTCACCTGCAACCAAAAGGTTAAAATTCATTTTTGTGACTTCGCTGCTTATCACAATGTCACTCTTTTTTATATTTGTTGGGTGACAGAACTCAGAAAAAGGTTTGGTGGCATACATTTCCTGGACAGCTTTTTTTTCTTGCCCCCATTTTTGTCGCAGCTCGGTACAACTTATAAAATCTAAATTTTCGTTACTAAAAAGACATTATCTATAAACAAATAGATAAGTACCTACTAACCGGTTTACATAAATTAATGTTGCTATGACATGCTTGCAATATCCCGACAGCCCAGCTTTACAACTGCATCTACATTGCCAAGTTGGGGTATCTAACCTAATTGAAATTTCGTGTGGTAGCTGCTTTAAGGCAGACGTTTGTAGGCAAAGACTTCTGATAACATTTGGTTCTTCACTCTCCAAACCACATAAAATAATGTGTCCTGCCTTGAAAACGGCTTCTCCCTCTATTAAAGGGCGCTTACGATCCCCCACATACTCTAAGATGTCCATAAGGGAAATTTCAATAACCACCATCGCTCTAAAACATTCACACAAATATAAGTAATTTTTATTATAATTACATTACAACTTACCTAATTAACACAACAAATTCAAACTAATACACTCTAAAAGTGTAATTCTACACCACTACACAACGTAATCGTACATAGAAATGCGTTGTTGTTCACCACTATTTTTAAAAACAAAACTTTTACAGCGCCATCTATCGTTCGTTGATTTTCGGCAGGATTGCCAGACACGAAGTCGTCTGAGCCCGGGCTTTAGAGTTTAGACGTTTGTTGGGCTGCTTTTCCCCCGCCGCCTATGGTCGAGTTATCTACGACTGTTGGAGTTTTAGCGGCAATACAACTTCGCGGAGAGTACGAGTTTAGCAACCAAACCAAGAACGTACATATTCAAAAATGCGATTGAACTCGCACATTTACAAGCATTAATTGTAATCGATGTTTAGTTATATTATTATTTGTATGAGAAGAAAATACACCTTTGTTTATAGTTCGTATTGGTGTGGTTTTCCTTCATCCAACGCAACGTTAGCAGTGCTTTCCAGCACCTATTATACAGTCCATTAAACAGCATCAACATCATATTTAACATTGGACCTTCGAACCGGACGCAATCGTGATTGAACCTGGTGAAATTCGAGACGAAGTTATCAGCTGCCGAAGTAAAATACGATACTGGAAATCATCGATATCGCAGGTGCGTCCGATCTATTTTATATCCTTTGTTTTGGCTCCTTGCATGCGTTTATTTTGGCCGTTGGTATTTGAATTACAAAGTATTGTTATCAAGTTATCAAATTGTGTCGCATTTTCTCGAATTATTTCAAACATACTTGCAACGCGTATTATTGGTTTAAACTTAGTAGTATTTGTTTGAGATAAATATTAAAATATTAGCATGGAGCATGAAAGGCTTATCAAAAAGAGGGGTTCAGTCAAAGCAAAGTTAACAAATTTTCAAAAGTATGTGGATAACTTGGTGTCTATTTTTCCACAATTTTTAATTGAAGATCAAGTTGTTTTTATCGAGCTTAAGCAACGCGTAGATCGTTTTCAAGGCGTGTTGGACGAATTCGATGGTATACAGGGACAGATAGAATTAATTAGCGACGACCCAGAGGCACAATATCTCGAACGCGAAATCTTACGGGGTAAAGCTACCGATTATTGAAATCTCTACCTACGATGGAGAGTACGAAAGGTGGCTTGAATTTCGGGATACTTATGAATCGTTAATACATCAAAACATAAACTTATCGAGCGTACAGAAATTTAATTATCTCAAATCGTATCTCGATCCTAGCGTGCTTGAAATTATCGCAAGCTTAGAACTATCGGCAATAAATTATGAAACTGCGTGGGCTTTGATTTGTGATAGATTTAATAATAGTAAAATGTTAATTCAGAATCATGTAAAGGCTTTGTTCAATGTTGAAAAACTACAAGTAGAATCTTCCAGTGGTTTGCGTAAGTTGGTTGATAGTGTTGCCAAGCATTTGCGAGCGCTCAAAACCCTAAATGAACCTGTAGAGACTTGGGATACCCTTGTTATTTATATGATAAGTGGTAAGTTGGATGATGTCACACTTCGCAAGTGGGAACAAATAAAGGTGTCCTACACGGTACCTACTTTAGACAATTTATCTTCTTTTTTGAAAGAGCGAGCTTGTCTTCTTGAATCCATTGAACAAAATAAAACTGTCGCTGTTGAGGGCTCGGATGCAAATAAACGAAATAAAAAAATTAAATCCTTTGTTACAGAAAATTCGAGCGTAAAGCCTATTTGCTCATTTTGTAAACAAGGACACTATGTGCAAAACTGTCCAGAGTTTTTAAAATTAAGTCCGGAAGAACGTTCGATAGAAGTGAAGAAAAGACATTTGTGTTTAAATTGTCTAAGGTCGGGACACATGGTAAAACGGTGTTTTTCAGGCCCTTGTAAAACGTGCAGGGCGAAACATAATACGCTTCTACATTTCAACTCGAAGCCTGACAGCAACGCAAACGCGTCTGGAAGCAACCAATTCGAAAACATTGAAGATATGCACCGGGAGCGTGTAAACTTGTCCTCCTTAAACATATCAACCAATCAAGTATTATTAGCTACGGTGTTAGTTGACATTCTTGACAAACACAACAAGCCATGTACTGCGCGTGCCTTACTTGATGCCGGTTCTCAAAGTAGTTTTCTCACCCAGCAGCTTTCGAGAAAATTACAGTTATCAGAAAGCTCAATCAATATTAAAATTTGCGGATTTAGCGATTCCGAGTCAGAGTGTAAAAGCAAATGTGTTGCACGCATTAAATCTAAGGTTAATGATTTCTCCTTTGAGATTTCTTGTTTAATAGTTCCTCATATAACGAGTAATTTGCCTAATTTCAGAATTAACAGAAGCAAGTTAAACATTCCTCCCAACATAACTTTAGCTGATCCCAAATTTGATTCAGCAGGGAATGTAGATATGTTAATAGGGGCCGATTATTTTTGGGATCTAATATGTGTAGGTCAAATAAGGTTGGGTGCAGAGGGCCCGTTTGCACAAAAAACAAAATTAGGTTGGATTATTTCGGGTCGCATGGGAGGCGGATCGCATCAAAGGGTACGATGCCAGCTCGCTAAAAATATTGACGTTGACGAGCAGCTCACGCGTTTTTGGGAAATTGAGGAGTTCCCACGCACCAAGCTTATGTCAAATGAGGAAAGGGCCTGTGAAGATCATTTTCGTAAAACATTCAAACGCGACAGTGACAATAAGTTTATTGTAACAATCCCTCTAGTAGAAGATCCAGATAGGTTAGGGGACTCCTTTGATACAGCGCACAAAAGGTTCTTATCTTTGGAACGAAGGTTTGATCGTGACGACTCCTTTAAGACAGAATATTGCAAGTTCATGAGCGAATATGAGAGGTTGGGACATATGCTTAAGGTTGACAATAAACAAAACAGCGCAATTTCTTATTATTTGCCTCACCACGGCGTCTTAAAGGAAAGTAGTCTAACAACCAAACTTCGCGTTGTATTTGATGCTTCGTGTCCTAGTACGTCTGGAATTTCCTTTAATGATTTGCAGATGACAGGCCCTACCATTCAGTCAGATCTTTTCAGTATTTTGATTCGTTATAGACAGCACAATTATGTCATTGCCGCTGATGTGGAGAAGATGTATCGCATGTGCAAAATAAATGAAACCCAAAGGACCTTACAACGTATTTTGTGGCGCAACAACAAAACCGACGAAATAGGCACTTATGAATTGCAGACCGTTACTTATGGTACCAAATCGGCAGCGTTTTTAGCGATAAGATGTCTCTTTCAGTTAGGAATCGAATGTGAGGCGGAATTTCCCGAAGTTGCTCGAGCAATAAAGGAAGATTTCTACGTAGACGATCTTCTGACGGGTTCCGAGACCGTAGAAAAGACGGTTGAAATTGGAAATAGCATAGCGTTGACACTCGGTAAAGCTGGATTTCATTTGCGTAAGTGGGTATCCAATAGCAACAAGGTTCTAGAAGGTATACATACTAACGATAAGGCTGACTCAATTGATTTAGGCGTGAACGAGAACACAAAAACTTTGGGATTGTTTTGGAATGGCCAAAGGGACTGTCTGTTCTATAAAATAAGTGATGGTTCCCGGAAAAATATCACTAAACGCGTTGTTCTCTCGGAGATATCACAATTATTCGACCCGTTAGGTCTATTAAGTGCGACCATAGTTCTAGCAAAAATTATTTTACGTGACATATGGTTAGAAAGGTTAGAGTGGGATAATTCCTTATCATATAGTTTACATTCAAGATGGTTATTATTCCGAGATCAGTTAAGTTCTTTAAATAGCCTTGAAATAGGCCGTAGAGTAATCTGTACAAATCCTATACTAGTTGAAATGCACGGATTTTCGGACGCCTCGGCCTATGCCTATGGCGCTTGTGTCTATATTAAATCGGAAAACGCTGAGGGCGATACTTTAGTTAGACTTGTATGCGCAAAATCAAGGGTCGCACCTCTTAAAACGCAAACCATTCCTAGGTTGGAACTTATGGCTGCGTTGTTACTCTCAAGATTAGTAAACAAGGTAAAATCGTCTTTAAAGGTTTTTATTAACAGAGTCGTCTGTTGGTGCGATTCTACGATCGTATTAGGTTGGTTACGTATGAACCCTAACTCACTGCAAGTATTTGTGGCTAATCGTATTGTAGCAATCCAGGAGCACGCGGACGTCACTGAATGGAGACATGTTCCAACGCAGGACAACCCCGCTGATTACGTTTCTCGTGGCGTTAATCCATGTGATTTGTTAGCTCTTAACACCTATTGGCTAGGCCCTGCGTGGCTAAAGCTAAATGAACAGTTTTGGCCTACAAAAGGGATTTCGCAAGAAAGCTTGCCTGAAGTGCGCAAAATAGTGCAAACAAATGCTGCTACTACGATCGATTGCGTTATTGATTTTTCGAAATATTCTAGTTTATGTAAGTTAGAGCGCGTAACAGCTTACTGCTTTCGATTTAAACAAAATTGTCTGAAGGGCTTGGGCGAGCGCAAAGTTGGACCACTTGAAGCACGCGAAATAAAATATTCGGCTGATGTTCTCATCAAAATCTCTCAGCATAATTGCTTTTCGGATGAAATTCGTTCCTTAAGCCGAAATAAATTCGTAAATAAACATAGCAAATTATTAAAATTACACCCTTTCTTGGATGATCAAGGTCTGCTTAGAGTTGGTGGCAGGCTCGTGAACTCAAAGTTTCAATTTCACAAAAGACATCCGATCATTTTGTCATGCAAACATCCACTCACTAGATTGCTATTTCATAAATGGCATAAACTATTGCTACATCCTGGACCGCAACTTTTACTTTCTTCAATTCGTGAATATTTTTGGCCTGTTTCAGGTCGTAATTTAGCAAGAAAGGTTTGCCATGACTGTGTGGATTGCTTTAGGGCCAATCCCACTCCTATTTTTCCTATAATGGGGAACTTGCCAAGACAAAGAGTCAATCCAGCCCCACCATTCTTTACCACAGGCGTAGATTATGCTGGGCCATTTTCAGTTAGGGATAGACAGGGTCGCGGATTTAAGGTCACAAAGGCCTATATGTGCCTATTTGTTTGCTTTGTCACTCGAGCCATACATCTCGAGTTAGTTTCAGACCTTACTACAGAAGCCTTTTTGGCGGCGTTTA